AAAAGTGCACCTTGCATAGAGCTTGAAATTTTAAATAAAGTGGAGGAAAACTTTGAAATCTTTGCTCAATAAGTATTCACAGCGGTGGAAGGGAAAACGACGAAATCATTCGCAAGAAAAGTTTCTTTAAACAGTTAGAAGAAAGTAAGTAATTTAAATAGATCTATTTTTCAAAAGACTGACAGATTTGCAAAAAGATGAACCAACTTTGGTGACTTATAGATTAGTGCTGGGGCATTGAGGTATAGCTCTCTCCACTCAGTCAAAATTTGTGGAATTTCATCCAAATGACTGATGGAGAAAAGTTAGAAAGCTTAAGAAGTAGTTATACGGAGAGTTGCGTCCACATTCCAAATTTAAAAGCTTAGGTCAGTAATATCATTTCGTTACCTCTTGATTGTTGCTTGAAAACAAGTTATGTGCGGAGCACCTAAATAAAACCTTATGAGGTTAAGCATAATGGCCACCTAATAAGTAATAGGCAACAATTATCAACAAAGGAAAAATTGCAGGGGCAAAACAGGCATCCGTTAAGTTCATACAATGTTGAATTTTCTGACGTATATGTATGTACTTTTCAACACATTTTTCCTTTAAAGCCCACATCTCCCATTGCCTGGCTTGTCCACGTATTGCATCTAAGCCAGAGATTTGTCGCAGGTTCTTATTGGAGTCTGTTATGATACATTGACAAAGGCTCTTTTACTTGTTCCATCGTGAGTAATTCTCTCACGTTTATGTTCTAAGTCGATGTTTTCCATCTAGTCTGGCGTTTTTCTCATAGTTTTATGAATACTTGTTGCATGTCAACAAACATCCTGCGATGCCTTAACGAACCTTTTGTTAAGATCTTTTAGAAACTGATCAGAATGTTAGTGTAGTTGCAGCATTAAGTCTGGGATTGTAATCTACCTCCTCTTCAAACTAATTTTCAATTCATAGACTCTCAGAGAGCTTTAGCAGGAAAAGTCGTTTTTGTATCTTAAATTGCCAGGGCTCTATAGCTAAGTCGTTTGACTATTCTTCCAAGAAGAACTCCAGCCTAAAGAGCTGCAATACCTCGATGTGCTTTCATTTTCTCAATTTCCCTTCTCCTGATTCCATATCTAACACTAGCAACTGACATACATTTTTCTGTAGAATCAGATCAATCTACCTTTTTTGGTTCTTGTAAAGAGTTTACTGGCTTTATAATTTAATTGGCTGCTAGGACTAACATGTCTGTGTTTTGTGCGTATTTAATCGCACATCTCGTACATTCCACACATACAATTATAATACACACCAAATAAATCACAATTTGAAATTGTCCTTGAATTGACGTTCTGTTAAAGACGTTCGTCCTTATACTTATCGTTCTTAAAAACTCTTACGTAATCCTAGGCAAACCGATGTTGCTCACTCATGAAGGTAGCTCTATCTTAATAGAGCCTCTTTTAGTAACCTGCGATGGTGTTTCAAAAGGAAACATTGGATAAAAAAAGTTTGGAAACAGGTATAATGTAATTACTTGATGTAAGCCAAACACTATCAACCATATATGACATTAAAACAACAATTCATGTTTTAGAAAGGATGATCACATCTTTAAAATATTAATTCCGTTCAATGAGGAAGTTGTATAGTTTCTTAATCATAAAGTGTAATAGTTTTAGGTTACTGTAGAACAACTCTGCAAAGTTATCTTGCATCTTGTTGTTCGTTAAAGTTCTTCCTCTCATCTGGAAAAAATCTTTTTATGACCCTTTGAAGCTAACGGGAATGATTAGTCTGAATTAGTACTGCATTGCAACCGCTTTAGTGTTAGATTGAAATAGCTATTCTGCACAGGACTAATATATAGGGTACCGTATGTTCCTCACAAGCTGACTCCCATTATTTTGTGCAGATCTTTTATAAAAAAAATCATGATCCTTGGCGGCGAGTACTCAATTGAGAACAATTTTGAAATAACTAAATATGCTACTCTTCTTGCTTCACTTTGGAGTTTTACTTGGTAATCTATAACTAGCTGATCCATGCTGGAAACAAACTTCGTAAATAAGATTCCAGTTTTTATTTTTATTATCATAGCTGTTCTTTATTCGATTTTATCGTTGTGATGTTTTTAGCTCTTCCCCTACTGAGAAACTCAATTATTATTCACTAATTGTGAGAGTGATAATCTGTATAAATGTCTGCAAGTTCACTCTATTGAGGAACACCACAATTCTAAATGTCTATGATCCGTATCTCCTACAATTTTTAAATGCTCACTTGACAAAATCCCTTTCGCCATTCACGTCACGCCCATTCTTGAGCAACCGTCTTCCGACGCCCCAGCAAACTGCAATTTCTGTCACCTCACTGCCGCCACGGGACATTTTGCTAATAAATGTATTTTTTTATACACGAGGATTGGAACTGTACTCTATTAACATATCCACATGGAAAAAGGCTAAGGTTATCCTTGTAGAATTTTTAAACGCTTTCAAGTATCTAATTTATAGGAAAGTGACATCAATATTTGTTATAAAGATCATAATAATTAGCTGAGAACTTGACAAGTGACAATTCATGAGCAACCTATTGAGCAGGTTTTCAACTTGAATGTACATTGAAAACAACTGATAGTTTACTCCTAATAGCAGAAAGTGAAGCTAAAATGTTAGATTTTTTTTGGTGAAATTAGATTAGCTTTGATTTACATTTTAATATTTCAAATTGCTTATGTGAAAGAAGAACTTTCTTTGAATAAATGCAACTTGTTGTTAGCCTTTGTAAATATTGTCGAGTTG